TCACAGGACGTTTAAAAATTGTTATCTTTTATCATTCCTAGAGCAGACTTAACTATTAAGGGATATTTGATGGGACAAGAAAAAAGCCAGGGCCTATTTCAACAAATTTCCAATACTGCACATTTTTAAGAAATTTTCAATACTGCACATTTGTAATCATATTTTCTTAAAGGAATTTTTGTTGTTGAAATCAGTGCAAACCCCTGCAAACCCCAGCTATCTTAGCCATGCAAGTGTAGCGAGGAAATTGCCTGAATTTTGAACACGTGTATAGACCATGACGGAGGGATCACAAACAGATAGACGATAATATACACAATTGATAATAACATTTCAAAACAGCAACAAAACAAACAGAAGCTACAAAACCTGAACAGAAACATAGTCATTTATCTCTTGTAAACGGAGTCACTGTCTCATGTTTTGTCTGGACAGTAAAACAAAAAAGTTTTATTAGACTCTTTATCTTTCTTTTAGTTAAGTTAAGTGAGCTTCTGCTAGATGCCCAGAGCAACTGATAAATTATTACTGAATGTTTTATCTTCGACAAGATCAAATTACGAAATTTACAGCAATGCTGACATTTACAGGAGATGTTTTGTTTTTGGTTCTGTTAATTTCAATTTGTTTTAAGTTTTGATAAGAGAGTCTTTCCGATGGTTATACGAGAATAACAATACATGAACTCAATGTTCAATATGAGAACAACGAAGTGACGAGGAAAATTCACATTTTGTGAACAAAGCAGGAATCTGGGATAGCCGCAAAAAGACATTTTCACAAATCCCAAAATTCAATACTGCACATTTTCGAAATCAATACTGTACGTTTTTAAATAAATACTGAACAAAGTGTGTAATACTGCACACTAAAATAGGTCCTAGAAAGAGCATTATCATTCAAGAAAGGAAGATGCACAAATTACATAACAAAATATAGGCAACATTGCAAAAATCCTCTTCCCCCTAAATTATCATCTAATTTGCATCATTTATTGATCATTATGACCGTAAAAATCTGTGTGAACGTTCTTTAGTTAGGTAATAAGTGAACGTTCCCATACCCAACTGCCAACGCATCGATAATCTCATCGAAAATCAGAAAATCAGAAGAACGCATGCGCACGCTCGACTCTGTTGAGCAAGTTGTTCAAACGCTCTCGACAACGCTGAACAACACCTTGAACAATAGGAATGTTGTGTGACTCCGCGCGACTTTTTTAAACGTGTTCAAACTTCGCTCGACTGCTCTCGACTGCTCCCGACTTCACTCGACTGCTCTCAACAAGGTGTTCAAACACTCTCGACTTTTACTCTCGACAAAAATATAGAGTAGTCGAGTGAAAAGTCGAGAGTGTTTGAACGGGGCTTTAGACATCTAGCGCCAGTGGCGGCCTGGCCTTTTTAGCCTGGGGGGGGGGGCAGCATCAAAATGGCGCCCTCCATAACTAACACTATTGTCTTTTTCCTGAGAATATTGGCAGTACAGGGGCAGTGCCAAGAAATTCAAAGTGGGGGGGGGGAGGCTCAAATTAATAGCTTTATTTGATTAAAAAACCAACATTGGGAAGGCCCGGTGAGAGGCTGTCGGAGACCCTTGGTATAACTCTGAATAAAAGAGGCTTTCTTGCGAGCGGAGCGAGCAGAAAATTTTTGCGACCACGCCCTTTAGATTGGCTTAAAATACATTTCAAAATATTTCTTGCAGTCATTTTCTTGAAATCGTTTAAAAATTTTGCTATTTTTAAGGCATCCTTTTAGCACGTTTGATTAATTCCAGTCGAAAATGGATTTCATTACTTTTTAATAAGGAAAAGAATCCATCCAATCTTTGTATCGTCGAGATAAATTGTTCCTTTCATGAAAAATGAAGCAATGAGACAAAATCTACTGACCCCCACATAAGCAGGTTTCTGAAGGCCAGCAGAGCCAAAGAGACTCATCGAAAATCAAAATTTTCCCTGAAAGGGGGGCATGAGTCCGGACACCTTAAAAACAGACTGTCCCCGACACCCTAAACACAGTCTGTGTGCACTATGAGTGCTGTGTTCTCCACACGAAATAATTTAACTATGTAAGTTTTCCTGACAATCCTCTAAAAATTGATTAATTTTTTCGCCCCTGGGAACAGTACAAATGTTTTGTCTGGATAACACAGTACTGAAGGGGCACAAAGACGTGCTCTTGAAGTAAGAATGTTCTAGGGGGTATGGGGGCGTGCGCCCCAATAAAGTTTTGCATTTTATGGCGTCTTTTTTGTCTTTGCTGGCCTCCTGGAGACCTAATAACCAGACAAGTCGGTCGTATTTTTTTGAGTTTTCGGCGCCCTATGCAAGCTTTGGCGCCCCTACAAAAATGTCAGCTGGGGGGGCCCCGGCCCCCCCCCCTGCCAGGCCGCCACTGTCTAGCGCCTTCGGCGCTTCTGTATCATTGTTTCTTCGCAATGGCACCCGAGGCGAGTCTGAAATCTCTTCAAGTCCCCAAGGCAGTGTTGAACCGTTTGGTCTTTCCTTTTTGGACCGATCGTGGCAAAAACTTTTAAAGAATGCATTGTCAAACAATGCTATGAAGACTTGGTGCCAGTTACACTATACCGGATTGCTATCGGAGCGGAGTAACTTTCATATAGGATAGGGGTTTGAGTTACACTACGCCACACCAATCCGATTTTCTTATTGTTTTCTGCATGACGCAATTCGATCGATAGTGAACAATGGCGCTTTCTGAGATTTTGTTGCTGTTGGATAATGCAAAATCGAAATCATCAAAACATTTTTGTATTTGGATTTCATCTCTTCCCAAATTTTAATGAAGTGGCCCTTGGGCCAACACAATCTCGCTATCCGTCCTAAGAACCCCCTCATTTATCTCTCAATTTCATGGTTGTTTTCGTTATTTTATGCATAGCTATTGAAAACGAATTCGCAACAGCACATAAATTCAAAAATATCATCAAAAAATTTTATCTGGTGGATTTTGTGTACCAGAAATGCAAAGGAATGCAGGCTTATGAGCGAGCGGAGCGTCGTAGTATAACTGCTACCCTAAATAACACTCCGGAGTAAAAGTTACTCCGCTCTGCTCCGCTCCGATAGCAATCCGGTATAGTGTAACTCTAGCCTTATTCTTCGGTTCAGAAACGATTTGTTGATTTTTGCGAAAAAAATGGTTTGTTACACGCTAATGGTTCCCCTCTCCCGGCCACTGAGTTGACAGTTCTGCGTTTTATTGGAAGCTTAAGTGAATCTTGCCAAACCTCTACGATTCGTTCATTGCATATACATTATGGCCTTAGTGACCCGCTAATTGGGTGTCTTCGAATTCCGCTTTTCGTGAAAGGTTTAAGGAGGATTAAATCACAGAAATCTCCCCCTAAACTTCCAATAACTCCGTTGATTCTTCATTCTATTTTAGGTCACCTAAACCTAGAAATTGTCAACGATGTCATGTTTGGGCTGTTTGTTGCACAGCCTTTTTTGGTTTTCTCAGAGCTGCGGAGGTTATTGTTACTCCGGACAAGTGTGTTGGCAATACTTATCTGGCAGTGTCAGATGTCTCTGTTAGTAACCAATCCCACCCAGATGCGGTCTTTATCAAGTTAAGATATTCAAAAACTGATTATTTTGGTAGAGGATGTACATTGATATTAGCCAGGCAAGATTCGTTAATCTGCCCAGTTTCGGCATTAATTGAATATTTATGGTTAAGGGGTTCTTCGCCAGGTCCATTGTTTATTTGTAAAGATTCTAAACCATTAACAAAGGCTAGGTTGTGTAACATGTTACAATCGACCTTATTAGCCGCTGGAATACCTGGACATTTTACCCTTCATAGCTTTAGAGTAGGGGCGGCGACCACTGCTGCAGCCCTTGGCTTCCCGGAACTTTTGATAAAAGCTATGGGACGTTGGTCTAGTGAAGCATACAAGGTTTATATTCGTATTCCTCACCAAAGACTTGTTTTAGCTTCTAAATGCCTTAGTACTTCTAAATGTTTCTAAATTGTGATTATCTTTCGATTTCAAATATGAAAATATTTTTCATTTTGGAACGCGGTCATTGTTCTTGAAGAAAAGATTCAGATGAATGCATGCGCGATGATTTATTAATCTTATACTTAAATTTTTACGCTATAATGTATCTCGGCTACAGTGTAGTTGAAGCCCAATCGTTATGTTTATGGATTTTTGGGTTTATCCTTGTTTGCTTATGGATAACCATTTTTGACTTTTATTTTCTTTTTATAATTTGACTTTTGGTATAACGTTTCCCCATTTTTAACGTTACGTGATTATATGTTTTTTTCAGTTGGCCCTTCGTGCACTTGCTCGGCTGCGCCATAGTCGATTTGGGGCATGAACTACTTAAAAAAAACTGAGACATTGTTCTCATGGTAGCTTGGTGTTCTTCTTCGGTGTCCTCTGTGTGTGGAGGCACTTGGTTTTGAGGGGAAATGTACCCTCGGTGTTGTTTTTTCCAGCGACCTCTGTGTGTGGAGGCACTTGGTTATGAGGGGAAACGTACCCTCGGTGTTATTAGCAGTGTCCTCTTTGAGTGGAGACACTTGGTTATGGAGCACAAGATCCTTGGTGCTATTGGCAACTGTCCTCCGTGTGTGGAGGCAATCAATTTTGAATGACAAGAACCCTGGTATTATCGACAAGTTTCCAAGCAGGTGCATTTTCAGAATAAGACTCGAAGATCGAAGATCGTGGTACTGTATTTCTTCTCATCTTGCTGAATTCACTGGTGGGTTTTTTTTTGTCCATTTTTATTCTTAACTAGTAAAATGATTGTTCCACTTCATGTTATGTTCAGGATGTCTATGAGAAATTGAGAGCTGTAACAATACTTAGGTGTTACTGTAAGGTGGTATTCTCTCCCAGGCCTTTTCTTTGCTTATTTTGATTGCGTTTCTTTGGGGGGGTTGGGGGAGCTTTGCCCGTGGCGGAAGAAGGCCATTGTTCTTCTTCTCAACCCCCTCAAAAACGGCTGGGTTTTATATTTATGGCCGTCTTTGCGATTGGCGCACCGACAGCCCAAAAATAAATGGTCCAAATGATGAGAGAACGCCACCTTCAGTCTTATGATTGATAATTGGTAAAATATTCTGAGGACCATCTTACTCTTATTTGCTAACGGTTTTCGTTTGGTAACCTGGAACAAATATTAAACGATTTTATTCATTTTGCTATTGTTATGCGCTTGTTCATGGTGCTTGCCCCTACCTACCATACAAGTCTCCCAGCGTCTCTGCATTCAATTGTTTACCATTCACCACTCTGATTGGCAATTGTAAGGGTCCCTTGAAATAAGAGGCCATAAGAGTTACCACTCTAATATCCTAATGCCTTTTTAGGCAAATGATGATTTTAGATGGAATAAACGTTTCATTGAATTAAATTTATTATGTTATATATTATCTATCGCATCCCATTTTGGTTGTTAGAGGGCACCATGGGGCACCTATTTTTATTTTGAATTTTATTTCCTTGCGACTTTCTCCGTTTGAGAGTATGGTGCGAAGGAGCGCAATTGTATTAAACAACTGTGTGGACAACAACTGCAACAAAGACAACCCAATCGAAATTTCAAAATGTCGTCAGTTTGACTTCCGAATTATTTCAAACAAAACACTTGGTTATCATCCAGTTAAAGACGGGATAGAGCAGTTGACTTGGAAGTTTACTACTATAGAAAGAGGAGAGACTACACCATTGCTGAAATGGGAGATTTATTTGGAGATTACGAGAAGCAGTTCAGCATTTTGTCAGCTGATATAACTGCGAAGATCGGCAAAGTTCCCAACCTTTCCGGAGGCAAGTTATCATTCTTGATCTTAATACAGTTTCAGTTTCATTTATTTTGATTAAAGTTTTGAATGAACAAAATCAAGTTCAGTCTAGAGGGTCAATCTTCTACCCACAATCATAATCAATCGTAAAAGTATGAGAGGCCATGGCAGGTCGCAGGTGTATTTGACCCTCTCTTACAAGTTTCTGATTTTGTAGAATGTTTGCCCTATTCTCTAATAACTTTATACACTGTGCGGCAGGGTGACTTGGAATTAGTGGTGTAGCGTGACTTTTTGAAGTCTGTATGGTAATCTAGAGTGCATTTGGAGCTAAATGCAAGGCTCTTAAGGCCTCTGGGAATAAATTAGTACAAGTGTGGCATTTCGCACCCCTAGGATGTTTTAGGCCTGTGGTGGAGTGCAATTGGTGTTTTGTTTCTACAAAGGTTTAATGCATACTGTATGCAGCCTAAAAAAGTATTTTCTTCAGTTTTCACACAACTGTAACAATAAATTATCTGGTTGCATAACGATAAAGGAAACCTTGTGAATATTGCCAGGGACCTGGGACCTTTACTAAATTTGATGCTGAAAATATTTTAGATGCAGTTCCTGGCGATCTCTCTTGCCACCAGCTGTGATGCCAGTCTTCATGAAACCCTTGAAAATGTTAATAGTTTGGTCCCCACTTTCAATTGTTTCTCACCAAAAGGGATATGAAAACAGTTTTGAAACTGCACAATTTAAATGTGGCATGATTTGAATATGCCACAATTTGAAAACAGCATGTTTAAAAATGGCACAATTTGAAATTGGTACGATTTGAAAACAGCACAAAACATTACAGTGCAAATGCTTGAAACAGAACAATTCTAAAGCAGATTTCCCTCTCATTGAATCCAGAGTGTTATTATTCTGTTTCCAAGTGTAACTCTTGAAAATTTCATGCCTTTATCACAACCTGTCGTTTTCCAAATTTTCCAGTTTTCATATGAAAATGGTACAACATTGAATAATTTGTGGCAGAACGGGGCATCGTCATCAGACAAATCTGCCATATTGCGTAAGCCCTTCTGGGGAGAGTTGTTTAGCGTTACATTGCACTCTGTTTGTTTTTAACCCAGCTGGTGGTAGGAACTGGATACTAAAACCACTGGCGTAAAAGCAATAGTGTACAGAAAGCGAGCTTTTCTGCATGGGCTGTCGGCAAAGGCTTTCACCTGAAAATTGCAGCTCCTTTGAATGATGATCGGATAACAATATCTCACACACAACTTGCACAAAATCTTTATTATATATTGCTTATTGTGATGGGCTTAATTAGCATAGCCTTAAATGTCATCGTTGCCCCATTTCAGGAATATGGCGAGTTCCTAAGTGATCCATTTACATTTCTTGCTGAAGATGCCAAATTTAGGAGTATAGATCAGAAGAAATACGGCACAAATCTTATCTAAACTGAAAGCCTTTTGTTTGAAAATTTAACTTAATTTACCTTTTGAAAACGGTATTTTAGAAACATGGGCATGCTAACACAGGTTTTTCGAGCACTGGGCTAGAAGATGATTGCGTATAATAATGGTTTCTGCAGCCTTAGATGTAAGAATGAAATTTACCGGACCACTACTAGCCCTGATACTGCGGTCATTTGGTACATGTTTGATTGCATTGAAGTGTCGTCACAACAGCTCTTCAAAATGATTACAGTGACCCAGTATGGAGGACAAGACCGATGAAACTCATCAAAATAAAAAACGCAAAACGATTTCTTGTTTTTTGTCACCTTGTTAGTTTGCAGTGCTTTGATTAAAAAACAAACAAATAATTACAAAGATAAGTGTATGATTAAACAAACTCCTCGGTGTGGGGAGGCGTGTACCAGCGCATGCAAGTGCGATAGCACGCCTTTCCCAGGAAGGCCTGCTCTTTGTTGTTTCCCAGTCTGCACTCCTTGATTTCTGTGCGGCAAGCATCTTAAGCATGGGTCCTGAGAAAATTCTGACTGGAACATGGGGAAGGGCTAGGGGCTACACCCCCAGGAACAATTCTTAAGACCACCCCCTTTTTAAATTGGCATGGATGGCTTCTTTTTTACACAAGACCTTTAATGTGCAGCTGGAAGCTGATATGAACACTGTGGGGCCAGACTGGGAACTTTGTTTCTTGCATGGGCAAGTTCACGCACCTGGCTGCGCGACTTCATGCCTGAAATCACACACTTTTAAGAAATTTGTATTGTTAATAATATCAAGTGCAATCAAATAGAGACTTTGTGCAGCCGATATGCACAAGTGCACGGATGGAAAATTTGAGTATGTGGGCAATATATTGCAGGCACAGAACAAACTTTCCAGTCTGGCTGTGGGAAAATCCTCCCTGTGCACTACAAGGAATACAGACTGGGCCGTTTCCTTTGAGTGGGGTAAAATTTCCCAGAAGCTATAGCTGCTCAATGATTAATGATGGTGATTAGTTTGCTTTTTCTATAAACTCTGTTCTATAAATTGTAAGGGCAACAATGTACTTAAAAATGATACAGAGATGCGATTATTATAAATATTTTTTTACGCAGTAACAATAATTATAAAACTGTTTGCCAATCTTTACATCCATTGGTTGCACTGTGCTTTGTATATCCCTTTGTTCATAGAGATAATTTTGTTGATAGGATTTGCCAATGATATTATTATTGGATGGGCCTAGGCCAACATGTTAAATTGTAATCTTGTCAACAATGTTCTCCAATCTTTTTTAACAGCCCAAAAGAAAGATGTTGTTTCAGAGATTGAACAAAAGCTTGAGGAGGCCCAAGAACTGGTATGAATTTGCTTTCAAACTAAAACACTCATTGAATGTGATTTTTGAAAAAAATTAAAATTATTTCATAATAACAATTGATATATCAGGCCATCCACTCCTTGATTTGCCAAGGAGTGCTATTCACTGTACTCCTGCAAATTCATTCCTGGTTTGGCCTGATATATCTACAAATATGTGATGGATCATCAAATTAAGGGACACAGTTGGCAATATCAGTTATTTTGTCAAACCTAGTACCTATTCATAAACAATGTGTTGCATTTAGGAAAAATTTTCATGAAGGTACCAGAGATAGAATTTTCATGAAGGTGAAGGAGGAAAAATTTTCATGAAGGTGAAGGAGTAAAAATTTTCATAATGTGAGGGAAAATTATGGCTGTATGACATAGGGCAACCAAAAAAGGAGCCATACAGACCAACTGTGCAATATATAAGAGTATGTTTAAGTATGCAGTCACTTTAAACACCAATCAGTGAACAGAAATAACCAGTTTGCCAGAAAATGTTATTATTATAGTATTTGGAAGAAGAGAAACTTGAGACACATGGAAAGCCAATTGTTGGGTCTATCAATGATAGCAATTTTGATTGTAATATGTACAGAAACAAATAATGCTAAATTAAACTGAATCACTCAAACTTTAAACTACATCAAAGCTTAATGTCAAAGTTCTAGTAATAAACAAAAAAGAGACTACGGTTTAAAAAAAATATGTCTTACTTTCAACATCTAGAAACCAACCTTGTAGGAGAAATACAATAAAATAGTATTGAAAAATCATTTTACAATATTCTTCTGTGCTCAAAATATGTTTTAAGTAGTTTTCAGCATTTGAATAATGTCTTAAAATAGTTTGATGCTTAAGTATGAAATACAGGAAACTTGATTTATAAAGTTTTTTTTAGAATTATAAAGTAAATTTTGATTTCATAGGCACTGACAAAATTTTGAGACACATTACTGCCTGTTAAATGTGATTTTTATTTATCTTGTCTAAAGCTTGAGCAAATGGATTTGGAAGTCAGGGCAATGGGTTCAGAAAACAAAGCTAAATATGGTGGAAGATTGAAAAGCTACAAGGATGAAGTCTCAAGAATGGAAATGGATTTGGTAACACTATTTTTAGTTCTGATTTGGCACCACTGATGAATGTATTTTATGCCACATGTCAGATAAAATTAAGTTTCCAGGAACTGGTTTATAGTATACAAAGAACAAGAAGTTCATATTTTCAACTGAAATAACTATCTAGGAGTAGTTTCCTAATATGTTGAGCTCATATTTAGTTCTTTTTAGGTATTTCTTGGTAACCTTTCAGACTTTTTTGGTCTTCTTTGTATCTTCAAAAGTTTTTAAGATTTTAGAAGATTACTATAAACATGAATCTTAGCATATTGGGAGATAGAAAAGCTGTTTGTTCTACAGGACATATTCTAATTGACAGGAATTACAAAAACAGTTTTCAAAAAAGTGATTTTTGTGAATTCCTTATTTCAGAGAAAAGCGAAAATAGCTTTCTCAGATCAAGAAGCTGCAAGGGCAGAACTGTTGGCAGGGGATGATGGTACTCATTCAGAAGATCAGGTGGGCCATTTTTAAAGTTAAAAATAAAACAAAGATTTTTATTTTGCTTGCACAAAGCAAAGAACTCCCGGGAAACTTAAGCAATACCACTAAGCATGCTAACATTTTAATTGATTTTTTCTTTCTATTGAGTTTAATTGTTATAATACAAGTTTATATTTAAATTTAAAATTTTAGGTTTAAAAAAGCACAGAAAACGAAAAAAAAGCATGCCAAAGTGCTTCTGCGATACAAGTTATGGAAAAATGTATATAATAATTTTATACTACGTGTTATGAACAACTTTTGGCGGTACAGAACTTGAAAAAGGCTTTAAAAAAAGCAAACATTTTACAACATATTGGCTAAAAGTTTTTCGTCTGACGCTCCTCAGAGCATAAATTATGACATTTTATGCCTTAAAGTGCCTGTGACATGATTTACGTACTTTTTGGTTTATATATCTATTCTTATGTAAAAAGGCCTGTTATTTTCATTTCTGAGGTTAGTTTTTACGTTTCGTGAGAAATGAAGGAGTTATTGGCGATCTTCTACGCCAAAATTCGCCATCTTGGTTTTCAGAATGAGTAGGCAGTGACGTCACGGGAGGGACCCGATCGCCTCTTCCTTCGAGTTTTTGTATCGTAGTCAATGAGGGAAATCTAACAGGTCTAAGATGAGAGATATTTCCAGAGAAAGTAGTGGCAGCGAGGATGAGATTTTTGAAGGTAGCGCTTACATTGTTACAATAACGAGTTCCTCCCATGACGTTACAAGAGAACGGCGAATGATGATTAAGCGACTTGGCTAGGCCGCACTATTTTGCTTAATTTCAATATCAAAACGCTTTTATTTCAAAAAAAAGTTCAGATCTACTATAAGAGCAGTGCAACGCTTCAATTAAGAGAATAAAAAAAATCATGTCACAGGCACTTTAAGGAGTGTCAGACGAAAAAGCTTTTAGCCAATATGTTGTAAAATGTTTGCTTTTTTCAAAGCTGTTCACAATCTGCTATATTTATTTGATTTTAGAGAAGTAGACTGCTAGAAAACAGTGAAAAGATGGAAAGGTCAAGTAGAAGGCTTGATGATGGCCTGAGAATGTGTATAGAAACAGGTTTGTTGTACTTCATAGAACCTGCTTACCAACTTTTGAATTTAGTGTCGTCTCTAATTAAACATAATATATACATGACCGCCTCTTTTTTACCTAAGATGTTTTCTTTGCCATTAACCACATATTAAATAGTAGAGGATTGATTATGTTCAAAAACTACTTGAAAATGGCTAATTTTGATGGCTCAGAATTTAAGCCGAATTGTTATAATGTTTAAGCTATTTAAGCTATTATTGATAAACCCTGGCCATTCCAATGAAAGGAACTTTTGTAGCTGTATCTCTGAATATAAAATGCCCTTCTTTTGTTAGTCTTAGATAACTGTGACATTTAGAGAATCTCATTTTAGAGGATATTGGCAATGATATATTGCAAAATTTGGAGAGAGACAGAGAAACAATCACAAGAACCAGGGACAGGGTATGTTTATGTGACTTTTTCTTGAACATCCTGCAAAGACGAGCTAGTAACATTTCAAAAGCAATTGATAAACCTTACATCATGGAGTCCATTGTCATCTACATAGAGCTCTATCTATTTAGTTTAGCTATTATATGATGGAATTGTGTTTGTCATTTCAAACATTACTTCTTTGCAAGGGTGCAGCTGCAAGGAGGGTGTTATGGGTCGTGGGAAACTTTCAGTTATTGGACCTAATTGATGCCCTTTTGAAGTATTATTGGACCTATATTATTGGTCCAACCACGCACATTTTTCTGTGGTGAAAAGTTCCAATTTTGTTTTCTTTTAATTCAAGCTACGCACTACTGACAGCAATATTGGCAAAAGTTCTAGAATTCTATCAGGAATGATGCGACGGTAATTATCATTGATTGTTGTTGATTAATTGATCGACTGACTGACTCATAGGCTGATTGACTGACTGATTGGCTGTTGTGATGTAGTGATTGATTGTAATGATTCATTGATTCATTGATTAATCTTTTGAAGCCTTTTTTTTCTTTTCCTTTTACCTAATACAAGTGATCTTTAGACATCAGACAGCTCTCTAACAAACTCCAAACGTTTTACACTTAACGACTTCTTCACTGCAGTTTCATATCTTTAAAGCACATTTAATTAAAAAGCTTAGCTCGTACATTTTTGCTTGGTCATAATTTGTTTATGGAGATGCTTGTAAACATATCAGTTTTGATTTTATCCAAAGTTCCACGTAATGTGAACTTCTATCTGGACGACTTTTAGACATTTTTGTATCGATATTTGGGTAACTCGTGCCATGAAATAGCCTTGTATTTACTGATTTATCTGATTATATCTTTATGCTACTTCTATCTTTTTATGTGACATGCCTTTTAATGGGGTAAAAACATTTTGATAAGAGCGCCTCTTGTATGCATTTGTCCGCCCACTTTAATGATTTTGAGGTATCACATACCTTCTCCGATATAAATAACGATCAATGTAGGTAAATTTTACCAGGAAAAATTTGACTTGATAACGGGCTATGCTCGAAACGTCGTTTATTATTTTAAAAAATTTGTCCTGGTACAATTTACTTACATTGATCGTTATTTAAATTCATCATATTGTACCGCACGCATTTTAGTATATTTATGGAATCTTCTCCGATATACTATGTGATCATGAGAGACTAAATTTCAAATTGCCAACCGTTATATAACCGTGGCTCGAAAATGAATACGTCTGTTGAACGGACTTAACTTCAACGGAATAAATAAAGTTTTATGAGTCCTCCTGCGCCCAATCGCCGCCCCTCGACATAAACTTCTGTAAATCCTAACAAAAACGCCTCGAGTATATTGAAAGCATACCCTTATTGTAAGTGGTATTTCCTCACAAATCTGTGTGGCTTAGCAAATATATGTAACTTAATACGTGGAGATTTTAAATTTTGTTTCGGTCATAGGTTTTCACTTTCCCGTTAGGTCAATGTCGGTTTGGCATTAAACTCGCCAGCCACTGACATTATTCATTGATAATGCAAAGGATCAAGAGTTTTAATGAGTAGGATGTTTTAGAAAACCATTTCTATTCATTTGAATGAATTCTTGGAAGTCACCTGCCAGTTCCTCTTCCTGTTACTTGAGTCATTTTCAGAGGTCTCTCGCATTCCATGGGTAATACCATTTCTAGCTGATTCTACATTTTGTCAAAATTTTGTCTTGGTTTTTGTCAAAATTTTGCCTTGGTTTTTGTCAAAATTTCGTCTTGGTTTTTGTCAAAATTTCGTCTTGGTTTTTGTTAAAATTTCGTCTTGGTTTTTGTCAAAATTTTGTCTTGGTTTTGTCGAAAATTTTTCTTGGTTTTTGCTCGTGTCGGTTCTGTGCCTTGTATATACTGGCTGAACCAGACCTTCTCCAGGGAAAATTTGATTTGCAACACCACTGTCAGTTTACCGTTCGATAAAGGTTCAAATCTTTATGGGAAATGTATTCTTTGTGCGTATAAATTTCGTAAAAGATTGGAATTTGCAAAGCATTTGTCTTGATGACGCAGTTCATAGAACAGAAGAACTTTAGTTACAACTGGTATTTTTGTAGCAGCAATAGGTTTTGTCTGTATGAAATTCTTATGTCTGAATAGTTGTACTACAATGCAATGATTGTACATGGGATTTTGTTTTGCATTTAATGGATATATGAATTAAAAGAGGTTTCACAAGTTGCAGGGTAAAAAACAAATAATTTTGATATAAACAAGGAAGATATGGAAGCAAAGAAAACGGTACGGTACTGCCCAATCAAATGAGTGCCTGAGAACGAGGTTAATGACTGAATGCTTCTGGATTCAATATTTTTAGTGACATTGACAGTATTTCTGTGGCATTGTGTATTGATATACTATTTTTGCATATTATTTCTTGTTCAAGAGCAAGTATCTTGCCTATAAGTATAAACAAACTGTTTCTAATATCATCATCAGGTACCATCTTCTATCAGAAGGTTGGCTACCATGACCCTCCAACTATCTCAAAATCTGAGTTTTGGTTTGTTGTCATGGTCATAGATAAAACTATGTTTCTAATATATTTTACTGTAAATAGGTTCCAGTGCTGAGCTAAAAACGAGTTTCTTTTATGAAATGCCTATATCCGCACTATTCTGTTTATAAGCCCTATCAATGAAACCTTAATCGTTTTTTTCAGGATAATCCAAAACAGGATAATTCTGGCTCTTGTCTGCTTAACGATTCTGGCAGTTATCGGCTTGGTGATTTACAGTGTTGCCAAGAAGTAAACAGATGAAGGTATCGTGCCATTCTTAAGCCTGAAATACACTATCACTTTTTATTAGTTTTTTGACTGACAGTTTTCAGTTTTTCAAAAACTGATGTCGTCCATACATTGGCCAGCTTGATCGTGAGCGAACATCAGTTCTTTTTGCTGCATCTTTGGTTGTAAAGAAAAGGCGAAAATACCGAAAAAAGAAAAAAGAGATCGTTTTCAACCTATTCGCATTTCGAAACCACTTTTGAGTCTGACGTTACATTTCATAATGATTTTTCTTACTTCCACGCATATATAAATTCATCTGAATTTGTAACTTTTCCACATTTTCAAATTAACGCTGCTCTAAACAATAGAGTATAAGAGTGGCGCCAGCTTTAAACAATAGAGTCTACACCAAAGTCGTAAAACTGAAAAAGTTGGACGTGATAGAAACTGATCGTGTATTTCAAGCTTTAGTCATCACTTTAGCGATGTTCGTCATCTGAAATTTATATTTGTTTCTTCCCAGCTTCCTAAAGTAGGTTTTGGGATACAGAGAAGCTATACTATCCTTTGTACCTGTAGTCCGCGACCCTAACCACTAAACCTGCATCATCGGTCGAGGAACAGAGTGGCCATTGCTTCTTACTTTTTTACAAAACAAAAGAATTTTTGTGCAAAATATTTTTATGAGCCAATTTCCCTTGGAAACCCGCCCTCTTTTTCTATCTTTCGCCGGAACCCATGATGGAGGGAATTTTTATGTTCATCGTGTTTATGTTCAAAAATTATTCATAGTGGTTGTTTTTTAATTGAGATTTTATGAAACCTCGCCTTGAATAGAATGAATATGAAGGGGCTAGAGATAATGCCCGCCATCCTTCACGAAGGAATCCGAAAGTGCTTGATTTGTCCTCGTCGCCAAGTCAATGCTATTTCTCAAGTGAACGAACAGTGCTAAGTACGTTCGTCTCAAGCACAGTTGAACAGAGCATCAAGATATATACATATACAGTACGATACGAGGATTTCTTAGATTAGAATAGAGCCCTGGGCACTAGCACAGCCCCATTTTTCCATGGCTCTCGGGTTCAAATATAGGATGAGCAAAAATAGGCTCTATAAAAGTAGGGTGAGCAAAAATAGGGCTAGCATTTCGATTAGTCCCGCCAAGGCTGTTAGGAGTCAAGGACATATTTCTGTCCACTTACTGGATCTCACAACTAGAAGAGATTGCTGTTGTCTAAACTAGAAGGAGTGCAGACCTCTTTGTGTTTACATCGGCTTCTTTAAGTCATCCTAACTCCCGATTTCTCCACCCCCTAGATAGGCTTTTTAATTTCAGGTTTCTTGTTTTAAATTGACAACAGTTTAAAAACCCTTGAGGCAATACTATCATTACGGGTACTTGATTCTCAATTTATTGTGGTCTACAATCTTTTAAATGGCGGGGTTCGCAAACCTCTATGTCCTTGTAGGCAAGAGCTTTCCGCGTGATTTTGACATACATCCCCCTTTCAATTTCTAACTTCCTTTCAATGGTTCTAGTAGCCTGAACTGCCGAAGAGGGGGAAGTTTAGGACTTAATTTTGCTTCATTAACAAAAAATTTACACCGCCCCCACTCCTTACAGCGCTCTATGGTCCCTGGTAATAGCATCACCAGCTTATTAACTGCCCTCCTAGATATAAACATCAACATAAGGCAAAGAAAACACTTACTTTTGCCTCTGATAACGTTGCAGCCATTGGACTTTTGCCTCTGTTTTCGGATATCGCTTGACTCTTCAGTTGCAGTGGTTGCACAATCCTGGCGCAGGCTTCATGGAGTTTATCTAAATTTGAGGGATAGATGTAGATTAACATAGTTCTTACCCACCCTGTTCTTACCCACCCTGTTCTTACCCACCCTGCTCTTACCCACCCTGCTCTTACCCACCCTGCTCTTACCCACCCTGTTCTTACCCACCCTGTTCTTACCCACCCTGTTCTTACCCACCCTGTTCTTACCCACCCTGTTCTTACCCACCCTGTTCTTACCCACCCTGTTCTTACCCACCCTGTTCTTACCCTGTTCTTACCACCCTGTTTTTACCCACCACTGCCGCTCTGCTTTTACGGCATTGCAAGATTTTTTGTTTATACTACATAGCAGACCTGTAAACAGTTATCTTCATTCAATCTTGATAAATATAAGACCATTCGTTATTATATACCAGCATAACTTAAAGCTGCTTTTCATCATGCACTGTCATCCGAATAGATTCGTTTAGAGTTACGTGGATTTATCTTAATTGCAACATGTGTACTTTGTTGGATTTGGCCCAATTGAAATGCATGATCTAGCAGTGATATCGGAATAGATAAAATGGTTTTATTTATCTGAATTTTACAATGTAACAATTCTAACTATTCGCACCAACGCCTAAATTGTAAGGATATGAAACAAAATAATAGAAACTTTGTAAAGTGATATCAAAGAAATATCATGAACGAATCCAATCAAGAGAGTAGACTAATTATACGTTTCTTGATTTAGTCACTTAAAGGAGTAATCCCTTCTGCGAGAAAATTCATCAAGTGGAGAGCCGGTTTTGTAATTTCTCTATAGTGAATATTATATGGTAGAAGCAGTTTTAATGACAGATTTATCATTCCATTTCTAGAAGTTTGTAAATGGTTTTTCTCTCAATACTACGGATATTTATTATCTTTTTCAATTTATTGATTTATATCAAATTTTTTTTTATCATCTACTTTTTTAACATACGAAAACAGTAGTATTGAATATTTTAAGCATGTATTTTCACGCTTCATTATCAATCCTCATTTTTCCTGGATCTGCACGTCAGAATTCAAATAATAATCTATTCTTTTAAATTTCAGGTTCGAGGGTTGGTTGTTGGTTGGGAAGAACCGTCCTTTATTTCACGTTGTATCAATATGACGTATAAAAGACGAGTCCTAGCATTACCAACTTTTGTGGAGTATTTTGTTATGATTTCACCAGTAGTGTCGAATTTAAATTTATACATTGCTAATGCTAGCCTACTCTCGAGGTTGCTTCCATCAACATTCCCATTAATATTTATTTCAGGATTCTTTATGTGACCCACGCCCCCCTCCCCCGCTCCTTTTTTTAATCTCCCTGTTTCATCGACAAAAACCTTCGAATAAAGATTTCTTTCGGAAGTCGAACTGTTCTTAGCTTTAACATTACCTATTGGAGGTCAACCCATCGTTTATTAAAAACTTCTTTTTATTAATGTTTAGACTTGGCCATGACTCCCCTCCCCCTTTATTTCATAACACGTTTCTCAAATTTAGGATTGATCTCTTATTTCTATAAGACATAGCTACTGTAGCGTACGAAGACCTTAATAATTTTTTTTGTGCTCTCATAGTAGCATCTGTGCATTCTTGTAATTTTAATAGCATGGGATAAGGTGAAGCGTGATGAACGTAGCGTATCATATCCGCCATCCTTAATATAACAATTTTTCTGCAGATTTTGGGGAATTTTTTTGAATTTTCCTAGAAGTTTCCCTTTTGCCCGACCCTGTTACGTTACCGCTGTTTTCTGTAAGCGAATGCAGAAAAATATTTTTTGTATATATCCTGACATGTGAATTCTTAAGCTTGTTTTCTGTTAAAAGAAAAGTGGAGCTTAATGAATTCGGGATTTGACCTGGCTTTACCGTCTTGTGCGTCAACCTTTGGCAAAAGCTAGAAGCTTTATAGGTTATAATTGATACGTATTAGCTCACTAGTGTCTTCATCGCCTCCTCTCCGCATCGAGGCTCGCTGTGCAGAGCACGGTTTATTACGTTTTGATTAGAAATGTATTCTTATTGGCTATTCAAACTCGCTCTTGACAGCAATAAATCAAATTTACCTATATCATACCAGTACACACCCTAGTCCGTCAGTTTTTTACAGAAAAGACTTTTTTCTGAGAATAGGGCAAATATGTAGGAAGGGCTTGGGAGGGTGCACAGCGACCTCAATGCTACGAGAAGGCTCGAAGAACTCAAATCGGAGTTCGCCGAGTCTCCTCTAATTAGGATATATCCGCATGTAGTACTGATTTATTATAATATCTTGAATTTAAATGTTGTTGCACTTTCAATTTACTGAAAAGAAATGTGTTTTTATGATCAGTGCCTGCGTTGTCGCATTGGTCGGGATCACTGGTAGGGATATCAGTGATTGGTGAAAGGTTGTACGATGCGCACGCGCACCATTTATAACTAGAAATGACCAGCAGACGTGTACATTTCAGTTAAAAAGGAGTTAAAGAGAATTTAAAGCGCAAAAAACAAATAGACCAAAGCCTCTAATTTGAGCATGATGTAATTGCATACTAAATAACCTTAACGAAGCTTTGGCTCCATACTTTTGCTAGCCTGCCCCCCCCCCCCTTTCAAATTAGTGGCGTGGGCCCTGCACTATAGCTTAAGGTCAGATCTTTGAGGACCCGCGTCAATGTACAGTTC